CATTGACATTGCTTGCAAGCCAAGAGGCTGACAAATTTCCAGTTTGTAACTGCAATTAATTGCCATTTCTATGATTTTCATTTCACATACCTACATATGTGCATCATATATGTATGTACAGAAATATACATATGTGTACACACATTTACAGACACACTTATGCCAATGCAGCAAGGTGTTACTCTAAACTTTTAAAAATGTAATTTTACCTGATTTCTCAGATTGCCACGTGTCAGCTACCTGCTATCCAAGCACCAGCAGCTAATGTAATATACACATACTATGTGTAGCTGTGACACAATTTTTGTTATTGCACCTGTGTGTTTGTTGTGTGGCAAATTATATGCAGCATGCGCATGAATGCTGCGTATTAAGTGCACTTTGAAATGCTCGTTTAGAGCTATTTAAACTTATTCGCGCACACAGCAATTAAAATGTCCTTAAACTTGCGCGCTTGAAAGTGCGCTCACAAGTGCAACATATACATAGACTTTTACAGTGCGCTGGATTGCTGAAAGTGTGCGCACGCTTTGTAAGCGCTAATGCCAACTAAATGCTACACTATAAGTAGCATAAGTGAGCATAGTGCTTACAAAATATACACGCCGCTTACACGTTTAAATGCGACTTTTACTTTGTAAGCTTTAGTCTAAAGTGTCGCCGTAGAGTAATTTACGCTGGTAATGTTTTCAGCTTATTAGCAATTTTAGTTGGGAAAGTCACCGTTGCACTTTGCAAATGTGTTGGAAACGTTCAGTATATATATATATATAGAGCATACAATCGAATTGTGGCATGGTTTAATGGCAATCTCTTCAGCTTGCTATTTGCTATTTCTTGCACACACAGAAATAAAAAAGTAGTTCAGAAATTACATGCTTATTTGCATGGATGTAAAATGTTAACTGCTTGCAACATGCAGTTGCATGCCACACACAGCACTTCCACACGTTTTTTTCATACATGCATATCGTATATAAACAACAACTCGTTTCTCCACTTACGTCTGTTTCGTGGGCTTCATACTTCTATTCTGAGCATGGTATTTAAACCACGAAAGTCGTACTACTCTGTAGGAAACTTCGGTGACTGTAAAATATTTATATAAGTGAGTAATCGATCTAAAATTTTGCACACAGAAATTTCTCTCAAAGAAGCTGCTCATTTGTCAGAATCACCGATATTGCACTAATATAGCATACAGCTGTCATACAAACTGGTCGATCAATATCAAGTACTTCTATGAAAAACTTTATTTGACAAGATATTCTTTCGAAATTTGACACAAATTATTAAGGAAGGAAATGCTGCAATATACTAAAAATAAATCTATATTGGACCACTATAACATATGTATAGCTGCCATACAAACTGTTTGATCAAAATTAAGTTCTTGTATAAAAAACTTTTTTAATTACCGAGATATCTTCACAAAATTAGGCATACATTATTTCCTAGGGCTAAGCTAGGTTATTTGAAGAAATTTACCTGATCGGAGCACTATAGCATATAGCTGCCACACAACTTGATTGAGAAACTTGTGTGAGAAACATTTTTATTTGTTCAGATATTTCCTTGAAATTTGGCATGAAGTATTTTCTGGAAGAATGCTTCAATATCTGAAAAAAAATTTCCAGATCGGTTTACTATAGCGTATAGCTGCCATACAGATTTACCGATCAATCTGAATATAAATATTCTTACAACGAAAATCATACAAAATTCGGCTACCAAGTATATGTAAATTTGTACATTTTTGTATATATGTATGTGTGTATGTATGTAGTTGCAAGCATTTTGCGTAAGCTTGAAATTCTAATTTCTAATTTTTCAGTTTGTTTTCGCTTGATTCCACTTTGTCTTACTTGCAGCTGGCTGTATTCATTTTTCTCTGAGAAGCCTACAACCTTTTATTTTCTTTAACTTACGCTTGTATTTGGGTCATGACTTTTTGTGACATCTGTTGCTGAAATGTAACTAAATGACCTAAGCTTGCCAGCGGCAGCAACATTTTTGCGAATTCGCAAATTCAATTTCAATTTTGCCTCGCAATTACCATTTTGCTTAGTTAATTCTCCCTTAAGGCTGGCTCAGTTCTTTCGCTGTGCGCCGGCAACAGTTGTTAATCATTAGCAATGAAATATCAATTCAATTATAATTTTACGTACTTGCGTTTATTATTTAGTAGTATATATGTATGTATATTATGGTGAATCAAAAAAATTTTTTCTTTCTTTTTTTTCTTTTCCTTAGATACCGTGCAAATTTTATCAAAGCAGGCCCAATCTGTGATTATACTACACAATGAGCAGTTTAAAATATTCCAGTTGCCTTTTGTTAGTGTGAACTTTCACCTACTTCCATACATAGTATGCCATCACACACACACTCTAACGCACAAGCACTTAATATTTTCCCACACCTAAGCCACTTAATGGAACATAATTTAAACACAGTTCATTTCGTTTGTTTGTATGTGTGCTCTTTATCGCCTTATGGCTTGCCGGTTGCTAATAAATTGTTATGGTTATTATATTTACTCGCAAGCATACTTCAAGGCGCAAAATTATATGATTTCCCGCGTGCACTGGTGTTACTTTCGATTTCTTATTAATAAACCACATCCAAGTGTTATGGTGCGCGGTGCGGCGCTCGATTTCACTTCTGTTTTTGATTGTTATTTTATGCCGCATTCAGTTTGAATAATTCTACCCAAACGATTATGCCGCCAATACAGTTGCGGCATTGCTTGCCATTACATACCTGTATAGTTATTTCTTGTGCGTGTCCTTGAGTGAATTAGTTTGTTATTTAGGCTGCTTACACGCACACACATACATTTGCAAACGACATTATGAGTGTAGTTTGTATTAATGTTCGTATGTATATGTGTCTGGTAGCAATTGTTTATAGTATATTCATATTGAATTACTTTCGTTGCCCTTTGTAGAAATACGAAAGTTTTCCGCCTCTATATCATCAATAATTCACAGTAATTTTGCGCGTTTAATTGAATTGATTTGAAAATTATAATACATATGCTTAACTTTGTTGTATGTCTTTAGCCATTCCACGCTCTGCTATTTTTTATTAATTTAGAGTGAAGACATATTGTTGAATATGAAGGAAATGATAGTCATGCATTAGGGCGGGGAAAAACAGATTTTCTTTCGCTTGGTACTCTGAAAAATAATTTATAACACAGCTCTACATTAATCTCCCTATGTATGAGCCCTTAATTCTATCGAGAAGGTTCCTTTTTTCGTATCATCAGCTAGAAAAGCTCATATATCGCTTCCAACTATTTGAAGAAATATCTCATTTAAATTTAGTAGAAAGTTATATGCTCTACAAAATTATTATTATTATATTTTTTTGTGTTAGCCTAACCACTTAAAGGATAGTAACAGTGCAAATTTTACTATTTCAAGAAATTTTTTTCATACGAATTTTACAACACCCTTAAAAAAAATCGTTATAAATCATTTATAATTATTCGATTAACTTAAACGTTTGCGCGATATCCATCATCAAAAGTCAATAAAAAAATTTAAAAAATTAATAAAAGCAAATTTTAATAAAAAACAAAATTAAAAAAAAAATTAATAAAATAAATTTTGAAAACTTAAATAAATAAATTAAAAAATTTAAAAAAAATTGTAATTAAAAAAATTTTATGACAAAAAAAAATTATTAAACAAATTTTATTAAAAATTAAAAAAAATGACATTTAAAGAAAAATTTAAAAAATTAATAAAAATTAAAAAGGAATTACAAAAAATTAAAAAAAAAATTTAAATAAGAAACCATTAAGAAAACGAGATCGAAAAAAATTTTCCTTTCTTTTTTTTGCCCCACACTAATGCATGTGCATTATATGTTATTTACTTATTAATATAAATTGCTCATTTGCATTGGGTTTTATTGATGCGTTTCTCTATACATAATGTTCACTTCTTGTAAATATTTTTATTTGGTTTCTCTCCGCTTTTTTGTAGGCAAATAAAATTTCGCGTTGCCATAAGAAAATTTGCTACGAAAAAATTGCAAACGCCATTTAATTGACTTAACATATTACTGTAATAATAAGAATGAAAAATATGGCGTTAATACTCTGTTAAGCTTTATTTTGAACATTTCTTCTACGGTGTGGCTCAACAACCAACGGCTGGCGTTCTAACGTTTAATCAATCAAGCATAGCTTATTGTAGTTATTAATGTGCCAGCTGATCAAATTTGAGCAGGATTAACTAAAAAAAAAAAAATAAATTTCTCGTATTGTCCTTAAAAATAAGCGTATTTTAAAGCAATACAAGCATGCTAAAGTTCAATGTTCTACATATTTCTCAATATAGAAGTTGGGTAGTCTCGACTACAATGGCCTTCAGCGAATTTTGGTTTCCCCGATTTCCGCTCATTTTTGGGGCGTCATTAGCTAGATTGTTGCAAGGTTTCAAACTCATATTCATAAACACACACCGCTACTCGATGTCGTTTTTTGATTTAGTCGACCTATAAGAGATGTTGAGATCCTCTAATATCTCTCTGATATCCACACGTTCTATTTCAAGTACTTTTTCTTTAACTTTTTCAGTGTTAGTGTCATTAAGAGAGATGGACTTGCGTGAGTCAAGCTTTCTATGACTTTACGTCCTTCACTCTGAACTTGGTGGCTCGCAAATACTATTTCTTTGTGATAACGTAGACTACGCGAAACTTTTGACCAATTCTTTCAACGATGCCGTAGCCGTAATTACATTCAAAATTAAAAATTTCAATTACTTTCTCATATTTTTACTTGGTAAAAACGCCAGACAAACCGAACAAAAAATTACACTAATAATTTCTCATTCAACATTATTTTCTCATTAGTGTTACTCGTATAATTACAGCAATTATTAATCGTTAAAGATTTATCAATTAATTTCGATTATTATCGAACCATAAATAAATGAAAATCCGGCACTAAACTTACTATGTCTTCTTCTTTATCTTTGCAGCAACTTTTCCGCTCACAGAATCCTGGACTTGCTGCCACAAATGCCGCGGCCGCCGCTGCTGCTGCGGCAGCTGCCACATCGGCTGCGCCACCTGGCGCACCGAACGGCACAATGCAACCGCAGCAGATGGCGCAAATGGCCGCTTCACAGCAGTTTTTGGCCGCACAACAGAATGCCGCCTATGCTGCGCAACAAGCAGCTCCCTACGTCATCAATCCAGGGCAAGATGCCGCACCCTATATGGGCTTGATAACAGCACAAATGCCACAGTATTACGGTGTACAGTGGGGCATGTACCCCAGCAATCTCATACCACAACAGGGCACACAGCCGCGACGGCCGTTGACGCCATCGCAACAGGGCGCTGAGAATCAGTCCTATCAGGTGAATAATTTATAACATACTATACATTACCTTGCTTTTGTATAGATTTGTAGCCAAGTAATGTGTTTGTATTACTAACAAAAACCAAAAATTAAAAAGCAGGCTGTAATTTACTATGTGCGCCGTGATGGCAAAAAAAAAAAAATTATTATTATCAGTTTAATCATTTACAGTGTAAAGTACTATTGTACAGCAGCAAAAAATAAAAATAAAATGTGTAATTTTACAATGTACATTTGCTATTGTAAAATATTTTTGTAAAGCAAGCGCGTCTAAAAATGAGCTACAACTAATTGGTCAAACGAATCGAATGTATTTTCACTTGTAAAATTTCACACCAAACCAATAGAATAGTATTTCGTCAACTAAAATGCAAAATAACGTTGGACCTCTTATCACCAGTTGACAGGCGAAGGAAAAAAGTTTTAATAAAATGCACTCATATTGAAACAAAATTTGAGTTTTGGTTATATTTTGGTTATAAAATGGGTATATTTTGGTTATAAAATGCTTATATATTTGTTATAAAACGGTTATATACTGATTATTATATCTGTTAGCGATTTTCGTTTTTTTTTTTGTTTCTGATGACACGTTGTTTTGCCTATTAGGTGACGATTTACAAAAACCAATATTTTTTTGTTTTTGGCTTAACCAAAGCAACCGCCGCTAATAAACTATATTAATATATAAGCAATGCCGCTTAATCATTATAATGAGTTTGTACATAATTTGACTTCAATTAAATGAGTATATATATTTTTTCTTCTATTTTCTAAAAAAAAAAACGCATAACCTTCATAAACAACAACAACTACCAAAATATAAATGAAAATATTTATATGCTAACCCTGTACAAAAACAAAAAACAATAAAATACTGTATAATTCATTAAATGCACCACAATCTCCATCAACGCTGACAATACAAACCCATAAACTTGTTAATACGCCGCGTGCCCAGGTTATACCGGCATTTTTCGATCAGAGTGGTTCGCTGGTGATGGGACCACGTACAGGCACACCGATGCGCCTCGTTAGCCCAGCACCGGTGCTGGTGCCACCAGGAGCGACACGCGCCGGCCCACCGCCGCCGCAAGGCCCACCACAACTATATCCGCCTCAACCGCAGACGGCACAACAGAACTTGTACTCACAACAGAATGGTTCGAGTGTTGGAGGTAAGCGAAATTCATATGCAATTTAAACTAACTAAAAGTCAAACACTGTCACTGCAGTTAATGCAGAAAAGACACCTAGCTTATTTGCAATTATGTACATAATTGTTTAATGTTAATGCTTTCATCACATAATAACCATACAGTTAAAATTATATACATATAGATATTTTATCTTAGTATACTAAGTTATTTTTTTTTTTTTACGAAAATGTTCGCATTTTAAATCCATTTTTTGGTCGAGCAGAATATTTTAAGTAACTGTGAACAATAAAAATTGCGCTCGTATGTCAAAACACGTGAAAATTGTCTAACTCTACGAAAGAGTGGTCAGTAGCCAGTTTCCAACACTGGGGTTGCCAAATCACGTAATATAAAAGGCAGCATAGGAATAACAACACACTATATTTTCCAGCAACTCACAGTTAGGAAATAACATTTTTACACTAAATGCAAATTCTTTTAATTAAATATCCTGCATATCTTCTGTTTAATGCGCGTTAATGACAGGATATGCCGTTTGCCTCGGCAAATGCACACTTAACTGTGTTATTGTATTCAACTGCAGTTAGTTTTGTTTTTGCTATTTAATTGGTATCGCTTTCACCATTTTGTTATTTACCACTCGTCTAAACATACTTGCATGTATGTGTGTGTGTATATATACATAGCCATACGTGCATTAACTCATATCCGAACTGTTTTACCGCCGCACATGCAGCAGTTTATGATTTACAATTAAAAATACATTACAATTACTATTGTTTGTTTGCACGCAAACATTGTTGAAGGCAAAATCGCTGGGACAACAACAGCAATCAGTAATCTGCAACTTTATGGCTGTTGCTATTTGCAATGCCAATACTCAGACAGACATTTTCATATATATTATAAATAATTGCATGTGTATAAAAATTGTATGTGCAAAAATGCATTTGTACCGTTATAGCATAAATAAAACCAAAAGTTAGTGAACAACAAAAATAATCAGTTACAAATTTACGCTTAGTAGTTGGCTGTCGGTAGCATGCATTTCGGACCATAACAGCATATAGTCGCCTCATAAACCGAACGAACGAAATCAAGTTTTTGTATTGAAAACAGAGTGTTATTTACCAGATATCTGCACGAAATTTGTCAGGAATTATTTTCTAAAAGAATGCTAACATATCTGAAGAAATTTTTGAAATCGGACCGCTATAGCTTATAGCTACCATATAATTTGAACAATCGAAATCACGTCATTGTAAGAAAAACTTTTTAGCTTAACGAGTTATATGCATGAAATTTGGTGGGAATTAATTTCTAAAATAATGATAAAATATCTGAAGAAACCTTCCAGATCGGATCACTATAACATATAGCTGTCATACAAACTGACCGATCGAAATCGAGATTTTATATTGAAAACAGGGTTATTTTCCAAGATATCTGCACGAAATTTGGCATATATTATTTTCTAGAACAACGCTACACTATCTGAAGAAATTCTCCGAATCGGACAACTATAGAGTATAGCTGCCATACAAAGCGAACGATCAACATCATGTTTTTGTATCGAAATTTTTCTTAATTGAAAAGTTATTTACATGAAATTTCAGAGGAATTCTTTTCTACAATAATGCTAAAATATCTGAAGAAATTTTCCAGAACGGACCACTATAACTTATAGCTGCCATACAAAGCGAACGATCAACATCATGTTTTTGTATGGAAAACTTTCTTAACTGAGAAGTTATTTATATGAAATTTCAGAGGAATTCTTTTCTACAACAATGCTAAAATATCTGAAGAAATTTTCCAGAACGGACCACTATAACTTATAGCTGCCATACAAAGCGAACGATCGAAATCATATTTTTGTAGGGAAAACTTCTCTAGTTGACGTGCGGTCTACATGAAATTTGGCAAGAATTATTTTGTAAAATAATGATAAAATATCTGAAAAAATCTTCCAGATCGGAGCACTATAGCATAATGCTGTCATACAATTTGAACGATCAACATCATGTTCTTGCATGGGAAAAAGTGCATTTTTTAATATTGCGCTCAACTTTACTATGGTGTTGTGTTATAAGTTGCACAAAATTAGCTGCATGTCTAAATGCAATAACACAGTTAGAATAGTTGTTACAGTTTGAATGTGAAATTTTAGCATTTATCCATATTTGTTATGTGCTTACATGCAAGCAATGATCCAAAAGTATTTATTAGACTATTTCAAGTGTCTATAAGCTATATATATAATGATTTTAAATGTATATATTACATATACGAGTATACATGATTTTAAATATATTATTTGTATACATGATTTCCGTGAAATCAACTACCCAAATACTCGATACACCGGCATTGAGTTACCGCCAACACAACACCTCGACTGTCAGCGGCAGCACCCGCAATGACTCGCCACTGCCAACACATAATATAATAAGTACACATACGGCATGTCAGCACCAAAATTAATTGTTATTGCCACAAGCGCTCGAACCGAACTAAACGTGTGATTGTGCCACATTTGCTGCTGAAATGCAATTAAGAATTAAATTTGGAAATTCTATTATGAGCGAGGTGAATTAGTTGTGCAGGGGTTATGCCGTTCAAAATGTTAGAGGGCATGCTAACTTTTTGCTGGACAGCTAATGAAATTTAGCTAAAATTGCACTTTATTATGGCACAGATGTATGTAGGCGTGCATTTATTGTGTACATATAGTCTAATTTATTATGTTTGTTTATATACAATTATGTAATTTCTTCATGCAATTTTAGTGTTTTGCAATATGCATATCTTAACCACTTACCACATTAATACGTGAAGCGAAAAGCACATTGATTTGTGCTGCAAATTGCAATTAAACTTACACAATCACATTAATCAGACATATGTATGTATATATGTAAATTTATGTGTGTGCTAATATATAAAATTTATATATATAATATACGCCAACCGAATTACGAAATAACACAAAATTAATTAATATGTCGTTATGTAACGGTAAAAATTCATTTAAGCATAGATTGCAATTTGTTTGTAATTTTTGTGTGGTTTTGTTGTAATATGCTTATGTTTAAATGAAACGCCAAAGTTGAGCACTTCGAATTGCTTCCCAGCTTAATTCACTACTAAAGCAGCAAGAGCCGCTGTAATGTTGAATAATCAAATGAATTTGAAATAAAAATCAATAAGTAAATGTAGAAATGTTAGCCTGTCTGATATAACAATTTTGAGCCTCACTAAATGTGATTAATTTATTATTTTCGAAATTAGGTAAGGTATTAGGTTATATGCCATTGAGTTCGTTCATTTTGCGGCAACTTTTTTATCAAAATTTTTAACCGATTTCAAAAAACAAAAAAAAAAAACAAAAAAAAACAAAAAAAAAAACATTTCCTAAATATTCACATCCACACACATACTCATCTATACACATATATATATTGTGACAAAAAAGTGTAAACAAAACGCAGAAAATTGGGTAGTCAAAAAAGTCTTTTCGTATTTCTAATCAAACTTCAACTTATTTTTTTTTATATTTATACTAAAATTATTATTATTAGTAATCATCAATATTTATTTTGTCGCCTTCAAAGTAATCCCTAACAGATTTTTCCAGTCCTCCAAACACTTTTCATAAGCTCTTTTCGGCATGGCATTCAGCTCCTTCAGGATTTTTTTTATTTTTATATATATTATATATATTTTTTATATCTCTTCGATCGACTGGCAACAGGTTCCACAGTGCAGCAATTTCAATTTAGAGACCAAGGAAAAAAAATCACACGGAGCCAAATCTGGTGATTACGGTAGTTGTTTGCTGGTGTTCACTGCGTTTTTGGCTTTGAATTCGGTCACAATCGTGACTCGATGCAGAAGTGCATTATCATCGTGTAAAACCCATGAATTGTTCCATCACAATTCCGAGCGTTTTCAACGAATGTTATCACACAAACGACTCCATGCGGCCAAATAGAACTCCTTATTGACCGTCTGTACCACCGGAACAAATTCATGATGCACCAAACTACGAATATCGAAAAAACCAATGAGCATCTGCTTGATTTTTGAGCGGCTTGTTGTGGCTTTATTGGTTTAAGCTCGTTTTTTTCAATCTATTCCGATGATTGTTGACTTCTTTGTCATAAGCTCATTTCTCATCGGCTTCAAGCATGTCCAATGAGACCTGTTTACGGTACTATTTATAAAAAAAAATCAGCTTTATCGGGACGAGTTGAGCAAGAACGCGTTTTATACCCACAGTATCCACCAAAATCATTCGAATGGACTCGCGAGAGATGTTGAACTCTCTTGCCATTCCTCTTACACCTGCCGTACGATTTTCAAGTACATATCCTTCACATAATATTTTAGCTACTTACTTTTTTGTCATAATGTATACATTAAATAAATCTCACTTTATAATGAAGCTTCTTAAGCTATTAATAAAAATAGCACTGAAAATTTTCCGTTTATTATAATTAATTTTTTGTTGAAATTTTCATTAAATACAATTAAATGTCCAACTACTGACAAATGCGATTTGAAGCATTAGCGACTGCATAGTATTTATGTGCTTTTTCCCGGTTCAACGTGTACATGCGTACGTTTATATGCTAAATTAGATGCTACAGTTGTATTTTAATGCCACTGCAAGCAATGAATTCAATTAACGGCAAAGCTCCTAAATTTACAACTCTATTATTTATGCGCAAATACATTTAAAACTTAATTGATTTCTACAATGCAAAAAACAACAACAACAGTGATAAAAAAAGCAAATTTTTATTATTTTAATTATAACATTTACGGTAGAAATGAAATTTGAATTTAGTTTTAAATTTTTGGAAAAGCGCTTTATTATTTTTTAGTTACTTTTGTACCCTGAAGGGACAGCAGGAAGCGTATATAAATATATCAACAGAGTGACGAGCGTATTACGCCCTCAGTTTTTGAGATATCGTTCTGAAAATTTCCACACATTCCTTTCTTCCAAAAAA